TTCTATTCTACCATACAACAATGTATCGAGAGGCCACTACCATACATTAACCCATTATTTTACAGGCAATGTTGATTACCATGGAAGAGACTCTAAGAGACACAGTGTGAATTATTAGAATTGTAAGATCAGCCTCAGTCTTGCGATGTATTTTATAACATAATTTTTAATTATTTTTATCAGGTGTGACTACAGTGGTTCCAAATATGAACACAATAATTGTGGCTACTACGATTACTCCAGATATTGTTATCAATCATCTGTATTTATCTATTTGATTACCATGTGATGGGAATCTTAGTTTAGCTTATTGAAACTTTCTCGACGTATGAAAACGACGACCAGAGAAGATGGAGCGTTTCAGTTGCACCTTCGGATTAAACTAAAATCTTCTTCTCCTACTGTCGTTGAAAGAATACGAAACCTTGCACCTTTTGACAAGATGTCGTTTTCTGGTTTACAATACCGGCTCGTTTGAATACCATGTCAGAAAATCAGTCTTTTGTTATACTGGTCGCTCAAAACATCAAATAGAATCGGACCTGTGTTGTGTACCGATAATAATCATTAATTTAATTTTTCAGAGTGTTTCAGGGATGCCGATGGTGGTGATTATCGGGGTTCAGTTGACCATACTATCAACGGTTATGGTTGTCAAATGTGGACGTCACAGAGCCCTCATGTACATGTATATACTCCATCAAACTATCCTGACTCAGGTGTTGGAGACCACAACTTCTGTCGAAATCCTGACGAGAGAGCGACTGCGTGGTGTTACACAACAAATCCCTCTATACCTTGGCAGCATTGCGATATTGGAATGGCTGGTGAAAACTGTGGTGAGTGAGTGTGTTATAATGTGTACAATGATGTTAATATAATGTAGTGTAGTGTAGTGTAGTGTAGTGTAGTGTAGTGTAGTGTAGTGTAGTGTAGTGTAGTGTAGTGTAGTGTAATGTAATGTAAAATAATGTAATGTAATGTAATGTAATGTAATGTAGTACAGTGCGCGCAGTGCAGTTTATCCAAAAGGGGTAAATTCCATCATTTGTTTATTCACAGAGGCGACTACGAACTCAGCACCTACTTCAACGGCAACTGTAATAGTATAGTATTGTTACACTCTATCTCACTGTTTACTGATGACGTGAAGACAGTACTAGACTTTAGTGTATCAATGAACATGCACTTATGCTATATGCATGTTCTAAGAAATCCATATTCTCTAATGACATATGTATGTCTATTGTAATTTTGCATGTATCACTAATGGCAAACTTTGATTTTCGTTATGAATATTTTGATGCACATATAGAGTTATGTAGTAGGAATACTCAGAAACACCTAATATACGCTTGGTTCAAATTCGGTGAGATCCATTCTTAACAGTTTAATCCAATCGCTGAATGGATAAGTTTTGCAAGATTTTGCATTTTCACATTATGCGTGTGTTCTTTGGTCAATCTACAAATGAATTCTGTTTTCAATATATTTATGATTGGGTTATTTACCACATATAAATTCTCTTGCATAATGAACTTACGCTACCGGATTATAAATACTCAACACGCGTGTGCTTAGTTTGGAGATGATCATTAACACACTCAGCACCATAAATTACCAATGATTCTCTATGATTTATATCATTGGACATTGATTTCTCTAACACGTGTTATTTGCTTATTATATAGGTTCATATTAAATTCATAAGAAATCTGCTGTATTTGTTTCTCAAAAGTACGTTTTGCGATGTTTGATCAAAATGTCAATTTTACCCTAAAACCCTGTAAACGACGAATTTTAGAGGTGCTATTAAATGCTGTCAATATTTTTGTAATATATTCACAAACATAAGTACTCGTCTCCACAAATATGCATATTTATTTCTTTTCATTCATTCAAAGAGACAGTCAGGTGCTGACGATTTTCTTGATTATGTAAGAATTGCATAGTATGGTTATAAAGAAGTAAGTTTGTTTACTGTTGACTAAAACACTACTACTAAAATATGATTTGGGGGAAAAACATGAAATTGGCTATAGAAGTTTTTTTTAGCAGTTAGTATACCTGAAAAGAACACTCAACTATTGTTAGCTACATAAATTTCACATCCATGTTGAAAGTGATGACATAATAAATACGCGTATTCATTAAAATGGAATACATTGATGTAAACAATGCTGCTCAGACAACAATCGCGTTTTGTGAACTGAAATGTATTTCGACTTACTATTATTGCCCATGCATAGAATAGATATGACATTCTTTTTTTAACTATACAATAATTATTTGTCGTGTTTTTTTTAATTAAGTATTCCCTTTAATGATTTCTTGGTTAAGTGCAACATCGAATAAGCTATTCGTATTTTTACCTCTTACTTAATAATAATAAATAGTTTACAGTTTAGTTGCTTTCCATTGATTGTTACTTTAATTGCAGAGATTGAGGATTAAAGTCCTTTTTTTGTGTGTTGCGGCCCACCTCCCAACCTTCTGAACATCTAGTTAATTGTAGGTATTGGAGTGGGGCACATATGGGCAGTATATTCATTAATATTCACTATTTCTGAGACTATGTAAGTTCACTGGTAAACCGAAGAGTCCCCATTTTGAAAACGATCAACGTTTACTCGTTAATCACAGTTTCAGAAAAAAAAAGTAGTCAATGATCAAAGTTCGAATATAAAAGACGCAAAAACGGCAAAATCATTATGTAGCCACTCTACTGACTATAGTTAAAGCGGGGAGTCTTCACCTGCGCATGCGTCAGATGGCCATAGAGTGCCGATGTTTACAAACTAGCGTCTACCCATGAGCCTTTGCGTTTTTAGCATGTGTTGTTATCGTCGCTTGGGACTCAATTCACGCGCGTGCGCAGGTACCGACCCTCCCGCTTTAAGCAGTGGTAACGAAACAGTTACAATCTACATGTGAATGTAGAAATGACATTTTGCAATCTTTTGCAATGGGGTGGTCACATGTTCAAAAGTAGAATAAATATCATCACGTGATATTATATTGTAGTCTCGGGCATCACACTACTATCCGTGATGTCTTGAGTCCATATGTAATATCTTACATAACATGCATTATAATAATATATGAATTCGCATTTATTTACACCAATGTTTAAAAATAAATATAATAACGAGATCGATAGTGAGTGTTACACGAACAAATGTTTAACTCGAATAAGATATTCGCCTTTGACTAAATAGTACGAATTGAACTTGACACAGATTCAATGGTAGGTGACGTGAATGTTGAATTATGAATAAAGTAAAGTTTATGGAACACGTTAGATATTAAAAGTAGAAATGTTCTCAGTTAAGGTAGAAGCGTAATGATAATAGTTGTTAATAAATCTAATGCGACAATGTTAATTGGCCATGGTTTACTATCTATACCCATGGTTACTTCAATGAAAAGACATAATGTTGTGTATTACAGTAGTATAATATGAGGAAATTGGTAAATAATATTCAGAAATTGCTATTTAAAAATATAATTATACTGAATGCTATATTTAAATGATCACATTCAATAAAATGATACCATCAATTGGATATGGGAACAATACATTCTAGGTAATTTCATTCATTCCTATAAGCTTCTGTCTTAAATAACATTACATTGAGTTAATTCTTCAAAATAGTTTCAAAACCATACGTTTGTACTGAATACTAATATTAGATACTTTGACAACCACATTCATAATATTCGTAGTAGCAGTTACACCTGTGTGTGCGTACCCAACCCGTGACACCTGGCGGCCATTCATTTTCCCTTGTGTGTATCAAATAAACAATATGGAATTATGGCAAAACGTCATGTTTCATCTTTGAAATTTACACTTAGACGATGAAAAATATCCATATTTAATGCTTCAAGTAATAAAGCCACAGCGGTTTTATTCCATTTTAAATTACCCCTACATCTGCCCTACATACTGTGGCCATTCATTGTTTTATTCTCATTATCACAGTTAAACTTTCAAAATACGAGCTTAATGTATTAAATTGGACTGAAGGCGTAATACAACAAATTGAAAATTGGAATATTGGAGTCAAATTTCATTATTCCATTATTTCATCTGGGTCTTGACCTGTTTTAAAGATAAACAAAAAACCCAACTAGCGAGATTTGATACAAGGTAGCAACCAGACAGATACCCAAGACAGCTGAAAACTGAAAAAGTCTAATTGGTTAAACGGTTGATTTGAAGTCATCTACATTGGGTGAACAGTTAGTAGAATGTCATTTAAGCCACACCTCTAATGTTACGGCGTTTTCTATCGGCTGGAAGTTGAAATATGTCGACATGACTTGCACTGACACAGGACGAAACAGCGCATAGAACAGTACGACGCTCGCCCGTAATAGTCACGGCGGTTTCAACAACGAAACTGTACGACACAGATCGAGAGTAATATGGCGATGTACTCGTTACACTGGTTTTATATATTGTCCTTTGTAGCTAATAAAATTATGAACAGTCTCGTGGTTACAAATTTAGTTGGCATAGGGATTGGACAATCTATTCAAGTTGAAGGTCGTATTAAGATCAAACTGAAAAGAAAAACTATGTAAACACAGTACCGCTGTATTCAGGAGTATTCAGGTGAAACATTTACTAGCAACCAACTGACAAGGTGACACGCGCTCTATAGCAATATCCATTTTGAAATGTTGTTGGTTGATTCCTACCTAGCACCACAATGTTTTGACTGCCACCGGATATGTCGGTCCCTTTGCGTATACGTCGAAACTAGGTCGGATCCTACCAATACACATTGAATATTGAAATATTGATTTAAATATATCAATTTTCAATTTAGATTTGTGCGCTATACACTCGACGATGTTGAATTCATCACATATTGTGATATGTTCTTGGGGACGTTCGTAAAAAAATAATAAATGGTCGTATTATGTACCAAAGCTAATGTAATTTTCTATAACGTATTTTGTATTTTAATTCGACAAATGCGCATTTGACAATATGGATAAAATTCAATTTCCGTTATCGTTATCAATATTGAGAAATGTTTTTTTTTTTTGGTATAATCACATTCACTTTATGTGCCATGTATTTTATATAATAATTGGACGCCAGATGTCACGAATTCTACCCATGCACCAATGATGGTTCAGTGTGGCCATCTGAACGACTATACTTAAAAAAATATACAATTCAAAAATATACAAATTTCAAATCCCGAATAAAAAAACTTCATCTGAATCTCACATCGAACCTGACACGAGAGTAAATACTTATTTAGCTAGTGCACATTGCCGGCCATCTCGAATGAATGTGTATGACACGTGTATAGGTTACTCGTTATTTATATCATTCGACATTGATAACACTGTTCACTAAATGCCATATAAATTAACAATTTTAATTATTGTACATAACTTTAATTAGTCCACGTATGCAGTAATAAAAGTATCCCTCGTAAAAATAAATAATATATATATATATATACCTGGAAAAAAATTAATTTATGGACAAAGAAATGCTGCTGAGGTTCCGAGAACACCATCCAAATTTAGTTCACTTGGAATTGGAACCATGCTTGTGTTTTCTCTTGGCAGTGATAAAATATCTTGCCTATGTGAAATAAAATAATTACAATAAATTGAACATCGTTTCTCTATAAAGTTGCATTCGTAATGTTGTATTTATTTATTTAAGTGCCACTTCGTAACCAATATATACACCATTCAATTTCGAGAATATGAATGGGTACTTAAGTGCAGATTATGAATTTGAGCGCCCCTCCTAATTAATTATTTAATTAATTATTATAACATATTAAACATTATTTTAACGCGTGTTATGTTTTTCGCTTGTTTGGGCAGTGATTAGTAATAAATAAACGAAATTTTAAAAGTGGTAATATTAATAGTTGTTTGTTTTTTTCAAAATATTTTTGGTCAAGCATCAAAACACATTTGTACGATGAACCAATGAACAAGGTGATATGAATATGTTTTAAATTGCTGAAGGTATTTTTCATTACTTATGA